CATTAATCAAAATAATTTACAATTAATCAAAACGGCGCGGTGCGTTGTCATTGTCGAAAAATAGATAAAACTCATTTAAAAAGAAAACAATAAATAAATGAAAAATAAATGAAAAATTTTCGACTACTTCTTTCTGAAGTTCAGATGGAAGTTCAGATACAAGCTCAGATACAAGCCCAGATACAAGCTCAGATGGAAGTTTAGATTGATGTATGACATAAAACTAAAAAGCGTTAAAACAGCAGCGCAAATGAAAATGAAATTATTTTCAAAATTGTACCTAAAATAAAAGAAAGGTCAAAAAAAGTGAAAAATAAACAAAACTAGATGAGAAAAAAAGAATTGTGAACCACCGGAATTTAGGCATCGAAAAGTACTACAAATTAGAAAAGCAAAATGCCAAAATTAAAACAAATAAAAACACTTTTTGAAAAAAGTCAATAAAAATCTTGAGAAAAAAAAAATCTTTTAAGAAATGCTAAAAACGAAAGTAAAACTGGTGCCGCCAAAGATCTACCACAACTCGTTTCGGCACACACGTTCACGCTAAACGCAGAGCTGCAACCATGACGTTTCAGCCAGCCGTAGTTGGAGCTTCACGGCAGCATCAGTTTTATGGGCAGCACAAGTGCTTGGTCACGAGTGGCATGGCTAAAGTTTGGAAGCAAATATAAATTAACCAACAAAAAACAAAAACAAAAACAAAAACAACAACAAAAAAAAATAATGAACATCTTTAAAATGAAAACAGAGTTTATTAAGTCGAAGATAAAAACTTTGGTGCTGGTCAGTTTGCAAGCAGAAGTCGTCTCTTCATTTGGCTTCCACCGGTACAACTAGATTTGGAAGATACTCGCTCGTACATAATTTTCGATGGTTTACCCACATTCGGCGTATTACCGTTTTTATGACTTTTCGATTTTTCTGTTTTAAATAAGCACTTGAGCTTTGGATCTGCGCTTATGAGTTTGTTTTATGCAGTCGTGGTGCTGATGACGATGATGAGATAATGGTAGCTTACAAAAAAAGCAAAAAGCTATGAATTTAAATATGAAACTGGCGGATACACGAGATGTGCGAAGAAAAGTAAAAGTGGTTGAACTGGTGAAAGAATGCCAGAGACTCTTTCGTTCAATATACAATATTTTTTTCTTCTTTCTGGTTTTTATTTATTTGTTTTCATTGATTATTTTCATTTTACGATTTCATTAATTGCTATTCTGTGAAAAAATCTCTACTTTGTGATTTTCATGATTATATGCGTTATTATGTAAGCTTGATAATTAATACACACACCTAAACCATTTAATGAGAATTTAAATCGACAAATTTTTGAGTGAAATTATTTATTACTACAAATATTAGATAAAGACACTTAAGGAGTTGTTGACTTCTGAAGGTCATAGACAGAAAATCAATGATATTAAATAATATATATAAACGAATTTAATAAAAACTGCAAAAATATAGCATGAGTGGGCTATGATCGCCACAGCTTTAAGATAGTTTCATATCGGATAATGCATAAGTCATCCTAAAAGGATCATGTGGTTCACATAGGATCAATATTGTCGAAGTGTGTCGGCGAATTAACTTAAAAGTCTGTCTTCTTCGTCTTCTTAGTATCGCTTTCCCCTAGTGGGGGATAGGGCACTCTGTTAGGTGCTTCTCTGCATATATCGTTTCATGCGTAGTGCGCTTTTGTCATTTTTCTTTCAATTGTCCTTCTCCAAGTTGTGCTGCCTTGTGGGTTCCATGTCAAAGATTGTCGTGGAGTGTATTTATTTGGTTGTCGGATAGTATGCCCTATCCAATTCCCTTTACGCATTTTTATTTCGGTTAGAGCAGTTTTGTTTGGAGCAAAAGGTCTGCATTTGAAATGCGGTTAGGCCACCATATTTCTAGGATTTTCTACAGGCATTTATTTAAGATACAAACATTTATAAATAAATGCCTGCGAAAAAGCTGATAGTTACCCTAAAATATCTACCTACATTGTCAACTTACAACCTGAGTAACTTGGGTAACCTGAAGAGCTAACAAGAAGAAGCGTTTATGGGGTATTGATATAATCGATTCGAAGGTTTACTGTGTTTTAGCATCTATACGCCTTTCTAAGCGTGACTACATATAGAAGGGAGAAGATATGGAGATACTATACTAAACAGAAGCATTTCTGTAGTCAGTTTCTTTTTATTTTAAATACAAAGTAAAATCACCATCAATTGAGAGTGATGAGGTAACTAATCCATGCGGGTCTCTAGATCAATGTAAATCTGGAGATAGTTTAAAGTGAATCCACTTTGTTTGAATCAACTATAGGGTTTACTGAAGTTTAAATATCTATATGAAAACAAAGTCACACTAGAAGGTATGACGGTATATAATATTCTACATCTACAGCGAATGATAAAAATGGTTTCAGTTTTGTTAGTTTGATATAAACAATTTAAGGTTTCCATGTTCAAACATTAAGAAAGTCTAACTAAAAAGATAAAGGGGGACGATGTAAGTTAGGTAAGTTATAGAGGTGAAGCGATTTGATAATCAACCCATGTGGATCTCTAGACACAGTTACTGAGTGAAACACTGTTTTAATGAAGCAATTTAGGGGTTTACTGAAATTTAGACGCAGCCTAAACACTATAAAAGTCTGAACAAAAGTGGGAAGGATGGAGTTGCTTTAAGAAATAGCGAGTTATATAGGAACCAATCCATATTAGTCCAGGTGGAACCGATACTAGTCCATATACGGCAATAAATGGGCGTTAAGGAGATTCGAGTAAAACAGCGTTAACATAATTCAAGAAGTTGTTGAGTCTTTATAAGAAGTTGTAGGAGTGTTAGAGATATGGTTATATATGGATAGTTGTTTAGCAATCTATAAAATTATCAAGATCACAACCAATGGAAAAAGCAAGAGAGAGGTTTAGTAGTAAATGCAGCATTATTTAAAAAGTTTCTTTAATCATCTATAAATGTAGAATGCTCAGTAAAAAGAGAATGTTGTATAAAGGGATCTAATAGGTTTATACTATTAAGTTACGTGCACATTATAGTACTTTACTTATACTTTCTAGCCATTAATGTCCTTTAGCTAAATGTGCTTAAAAAAGGTTATTTTCGTAGCTTGAACATTGTTGTACATTGTTGTAGTTATATCATTTTGACACATGATTTTATATCATTTTGACACATGATTTTATATCATTTTGAAGTTAATTACATTCCGAGGTATATAAATTTTTAACATTTGTTACTTATTTGCTATATAACCCATATAGACTTGCGGTTATAATGGGTCATTGCTTTCAATTTATATTTTGTTTTGGAAAAGCTTGCTTTTAAGCCAACTTCAGCAGTAAAGTCTTCGAGCTGCTTTAAGACTTGGTTTTCATATAGTTTCAATTTTAATTTTAATACGTACTCAAGTAGATTTAATTAAATCCATCAAATCAAATAAACAATAAGTAAAGTGCTTTGATTCGATTTAAAATAAAGATTAGGTGCAGGTTTTGAGTTTTTATTAAGGGAGCAATGCCTGATATGAATTACTACAGTGCATAAATCAACTTAAATAAATGAAAAATATAATTAAAAAGTTTAGTATGAAGAAATGCATACAATTAAATTTAAATACAATTTCCAATTAAATCAAAATATAGTTTAGTTTACTATTCAATATTATTTATCTTGAATTTGTGGAATTTACGTCAATAGTAAAAGTCTTAAGTTATATTTAGCGAGTCACTAATATTTAAAAAAGATAATTAAATTAAGAAAGTTGTATTTTAAACTTAAACTTATTTGAAAAAAAAATTAAGTCAAAATACCTGAGGCGTTAAAATATAATTTTCTTTTGAGTCATTTAAATAGGAAACAGCAAGTGAAATCTTTTTAAAAGAATTTGCATTACATATCAAAAATATTCAACTTGAATGTGCTAGAAATTATCTATGATAAATAGTTTTTTCACTACTCATATGCGTAAGTGGAGACAGAATCCGTCGAGAGTGATATGGTAATAAATTGCGAGGATAGCGTTAAATATCTCGGTATCATGTTGGACAAACGATTCACATGGCTTAAACATGTACAACTGAAAACAATTAGCTGTGCCAAAATTCTTCATTACCTCCAACCGCTATTTAGAAATGAAAATCTCAATGCTAAGAACAGGAAACTGATATATAACAAAATAAATTATCCGTCACTTCTATATGGTTGTGTAGCGTTTAGCAAAGCTTTAAACACTACTATCCACCAGCTAGAAATTGCACAAAGCCAGGCTTTGAGAAGATTTTTCAAAGTACCATGGACTTTGGTCCCTGAGGACAAATAACATCCTCAGGGACCTCAAGATTGATCCCATCAAAAAATACATAAAAGATAGAGCCCTGAAATTATTTGCGAAAACTGACAGACTTACCAACACCGCGTTATCAAATCTCAGAATGATTACAGGCTCCTCGGGAGGTATGCAGATCTGAGGTCAATTATTGCTTAGTCTGATGAAGTGATAAACAATCATCCAGTCAAGGCGTAAAGAGGGGTTTTAAAAATACCTCCAGTTAAGAAAGAGCAAAAGTGCTCAAGCGCACTGGCTCAAATAGCTTCAACATAATAATATGTGATATATTACATATATATTTCATTTAACCAAAAATGAAAATGACGTAAGTCGGAATTTGTTATATTAAGTTTGGAGAAGTGAAATAACATCTACAAGTAACTTCGTCTGTAATTAAAATCGATGTTTCGTAAAATTAGTTTTATAATTTATTTTATTTTTTTTTAATTAAAATGTTTTGTAGGAAATAGGTTTCGTATTATTCAAAGAGAGATGAGCTGCTCTGTAATATATTTTTTTAAATTGATTTCCAAGTTTGTGA